GAGGGTATGTCCTCACACCTTTTGGCTTCCTGCTACCATTTTCATGTACGGATTGGATTGTATTGTATCATTAGAGGGCCAAAGATCAGGGCCCCTTTCTGGTAGGCCCCATAGACATACTTGCTAGTGTCTCCGAGAGAAGGAGGGGTTCTTTTTGGTCCGTTCCGGTTTCCTCACTACTGCCCGTGCGAGCTCCTGTTCAACTTGTACGAGCACTAGTGCTGAGCAGTGGGGACCCGATGTCTGAAAAAGTCTACTCACCCTTGCACTGCTGAAGAGCGAAAACACCAGGTTTGGTATTCATTCTCATTGTTTGCAAGGAAGACTGGAGAATGGATCAGTGGGATGGTGGTGTTTTCTTTTCCCCCAAAGGAGTTCAGCCTTTCTGACAGGCATGTTATTGGAGGCTGAACGTGGCAGTTTGTCTTGACAGTTTTGCATCTGAGCCTTAAAGGGCACCCTTTGGCCACGTACAGCCTGTCCTCTGGAACAACCTTCTTGTACCCCTGCTCCTCAGCAACATTTTCGGTTTCATGGGTAGCCCTCAAACTACGGCCTGAATATCTCTCCCTTGATTTGTATTTCCTTAAAAAAATCCTCATGTATTGGAGCACTGGACTTAGTCAAATTGAGCAGCTGAAACATGGTATGGTCATTAGTGGCATTTATTGTGGGGAGACCGAGTCATGCCTTGCACTGGTATTGGAAAGTGAGGAGTATGATTTTTGAAAGCTTACCTGTAAGATTTCTGCTGTTTTTCACAAAACTGTCAGGTTTTGTGTCCAGCCCTAGTTATTTCAGTGCAGGGTTGCATTATGCTGGGAGTCTAAGGAGGATATGGTACTTAGGGAGGGTGATATTTAGCATATAGGGCAAATGGCATATTTTGGTAGATAGCACCTTTTACTGGACTACACTCTGGTTGTAGGTCCAAGAAGCAGGATGCCTGTTGTGTGAGACAGCATGCCTGGGGCCCATGTTGCTGCATCACTGCAGCTCTCTTGTCTGTTATAGCTAGTCAGTAAAGTCCTGGTTGTACCTACATTTCTTAAGCAGTGTGCCCTGCTTCCTGAAAAAGATAGGTATCACTGAGAAGTTATTGCTTTTTGGCTGTATATATAGGACCCCTAACACTTGATGGAATAAATTGGTTGCCTAGCCTTTCCTATACCCAGGGCCATAAACACCTGCATTATTTATTAAATAATTAGGCACTGAATTATTTATTAAATATCTACCATAAACATAACTCTGCCCCCGAGACATGCTCTTGAATTAGAGCAGTGGTGCACTGGTACTAAGATATGCATCCTTCAGTGTTGGTGTGCACTTGATCGCATGGTTTCTTTGTGAGGCGAAGGCATGCCTGTTTAGGATGCTTCTGAGACTGTCACTGCACTAGAAAAAGACAATTGATTTTCCCTAGTCTGGTTTGGTGCCACCTGTGGCCAGGAAGGGTGGTTGGTATTTGGTTGGGAGAGACTGTGGGCGGACGTAGAAGAGATCAGAGCCATGGCTTGGTTGGATGCCCTGGGGAGTTTGGGGAAGCTTTCCACAAAGGACGAGGGCTGGCTGGGATGGCTGCAGCCTGCATAGGGTTGTGGGGCATCTTATTGGGGTTGGGATGTAGTTGTGGGGGCAGTGACTAGACTTTGGGGCATGCTGGGTACTCAAGCAGTAGGGTGTATCCACGCTGTATTTCAGGAGTCCAGAGGCAGGAGCTCTGAGGCTTTGAGAGAAGAGCCTCGGCTCCTTTGGTGTGTGAGCCTGGAGCCTTTTTGAGCTAGGAGCAGGCTAGGAAGCTTGGGGGTTTCTGCATTAGTTAATTGGATTTCGTGGGCTCAGGGTGGGGAAGTGGCTTGACTGGTTGGGAGCATCCTGGAGTTACACCGGGAGTCTGGTGCTGGGGCTTATTTTCCTGCAGCCTGGGGACTTTGGGACATGGATGGGGCCGTGGCGTTGGCTGTGGTCTGGGGCTTGGGTTGCAAGAGGGGTCCTCAGGAGATTGAGTCTAAACCTGGTGTTCAGGTTAGAGACAACAGGTTCTTGGGTCATGCCAGATACTCAGGTGAGGTGAGGGGGCTATGTTGCTGGGGGGCTGAACTAATTGGTAGAATGCCTTGATTTGTTGTATGCATAGGCCTTGGAGACCTGTCTTGATTGGGTGCCATATTTGGGTTTGGACAGGGATAAGAACATCTCTGGTTTGAAGTACATATTGTGTGATGGCAGTGAGTGGGGCTGGTTGGGCTGGGTGATGGTGATGGGGCAGCTGTTTGGTCTGGGCGTGGGACAGGTTGTAGCCCTGTCTTGTTGTGTTGTGATCAATCCCCTAACTATTACTTGGTGGGGGTTTCTGCATGGCAGTGGAGTCCTGGCTTGCTGGGTTAAGTTAGTATAGTCGTAGGCTAGCTTGTTTGACTGCTCCCTGTGGGGCTTCTTCTTAATGGGGTGCACACGGGAGGAACTTGTCATGGCAGTAAGAGTGAGGCTGTCAGTGCTGGGGACAGGTTTGATGCAACTGGGATGCAAGGATTGTTTGGCTGCATCTCAGAACTTAGACCAGGTGCAAATCATACCGTGTTCAGTTCACCATGAGGGGTGGGGGTTGGCATGGACAACGTGCACTTCACACGTACTGGTTGGAGTCCACTAGTTTGGATTCCTGATGGCATTTGCTGGGTGTTGTGTTGGGAAGGGGTGTGCGGGCACAGTTGGTGGCAACTGCCCGTAACTCATGGGCCTGGTTTCGGGATGCGCACAGAGGCAGCCCCTAGTTTGGTTGGCTGTGGGCTGGGGCTTGAAACTGGTGGTGGGCTGTAGGTTGCTGAGGGAAGTCTGATTGTGTTGGCCTTTAGCGTATGTGAAACATGGGATGCTACTGCAGCTGCACTTCTCCCTGTCCCCGTTTATTGTTCTCTCTTTATTAAACCCCCTTGTCTTACCTCATTCCCCTGTTTGGTTTGGCACCTTCTCCCCCTTTC